TTTACACAACTTCCGTCCAGAGGATGTGTACTCCAACTAGTATTAAAATGAATTTTAGTTTTTCTTTGTGTTTAGTATTCTTAGATTCTGTGTTGGACCTTAAAGGGTTTATTTTGTTCTTGCTATGTTTTATTGGTAATTTCCTGTTAAAGTTATTCTATATCATTGTTAAAGTGTTTGTATTGTGATGTTTTACTGTGTATTATGTGACTTTTAAACTAATCTTTGTTAAAAAGTATTTTGTAAGTAACATTTGAAAGGTATTTTAGAAATGTATTAATCAAAATTGCTTTTGTTTGTTCGTTTTGAAGTTAAGCACAAAGCTACACAATGGGCTGTGCTCTGCCCATCACAGGTATCAAAACCTGGTTTCTAGCACTGTATGTCTGCAGACATACCGCTGTGCCACTGGGGGTATCAATATTGCTAATCTTGAACTTTTGCAATCTCATGCGAGGTTTAGTAATCCTAATTTTTTCTCACTACGTTGGTTATCCAAAATAGTTCATGTAGCTTTCAAATATCCTTTTTATAACACAAAAAATACATAACACCCTAGAATAGAATACCTCAAAATTACTAACTAATCTAGACATAGATTAAAAAATCACATTACTGTCTTTTATCGCTAGAACAATACAGACAATTACCTGATTTATTTAGTGTAGAATTTGGTCTTTCTGTTGGTTATAAAAATGTTCAATAGCATTGCCAAAGATAATTATAGACATTTTTTAAAAGGCATGATTTGGGTAGAGCATGTTAATATGGACTAAAAATATAGTGATATTTCAACAAAGCAAGAAAAGGTTGAATTTTTTTTAGCATGCCTTTCTAACTGGGGAAAGAAATATCTGTACTTGAGAATTCACAGCAATACCATATCATGTAGCTCAGAGAGGTGAAGATTGAGTATTTAAATATTTTCCTTTAAAATTAAAAACTTAGATAATATACAAATTTGAGCTATACACTACATTTGGATTCAAATTTTATTAAAATAGTGATAATACTGTAGTGTAATTGATTTCCAATGTAATTTTGTAAAAAACGTCATAACATGTACACTTTGACCCTCCCATATACATAGGTATCCATGCATCTTTATTAATGGGTATTTTGATGCACTTATGTATATTACTTCTTTGATAAAGAGGTCTTTTACTATTAAAGGATTTTTGATTATGTATTGCATTAATTCTTTGTTAAAGGGTTGTGACATTTTCATATGTGTTTACAGAAGTGTGAAAAGGCTATAGTAGTCCTTGACAAATGTACATGTATAGATTTTACTTATATGAAAATTAAAATTGTTGGCTTGAGGATAAGTCTGAAGTAAGGGAGAAAGGAAAAGTATGGTATATTAACATACCATGAATTTTCTACCTTCTTATATTAATATAGCATTTTTCTAAACTTACCAGTTATTCTGAGTATGCACAGTTTTCACATAACATATGTTCAATAATATTGTTTAGTTAATTTTGTTCTAGCTGGTTTTGTAATTCTATTGAGGCCACACTAGTTTTGATCATATGACACATGGCTGTAATGTATAAGAATGTAGACAGTAGTATACTTCAATGGTAGATCATGAGGTTATGCCTCTTTCCTTATGTTTGAATGAAAGTGACCTACCAAGTGATAGCACTAGTCACTCAATGTAAATCCAACATTACCTGTAAAGTAAGGAAAGCTGTATTCTAACAGTATGGTAAACCAGTTGGAGAGAATAGCTCTGATTCAGTATAAGTGATAATCTATTGTTCAATGCAAGTACATATACTAAGATTCTGGTACATTGTAATAAATATTGTGGTTATTGTAATTACTCTGGGTACGAAATAAAAACATTGGTATTCATAGACATTCATAACTACTTTGTAACAACTATCTTATTGGTTCTCCTGTTAATACATTCTTATTGCTCTTGGCATAATCAGTTTTACCTTAATATACCACAGATCTTCTAATTAAATTGATGATTATCTGTGCCTATAAAGCTAATCTTTCTAAAAGTTTAATCATTTTGGAATCTAAAATTGAATAACTTTCTCAAATCTGAATTTTTTGTAACAGTTCCTTATTAATACATTGTTTTATGTGAATAACTGTTTGGGAAATTTGTGCAAAGTTATACAAGAGCTTTCTGCACTAACTAGCCATTCTTCATTTTTTATTTTACATGGAACAGTTTCTTGCTTGCATCATAGAACAGTACATTCTTCTGTTTTAGTCTGGATACATTATTTTGGTGAAAACTATAAATGAAATGTTCCATCTGTTAACTATCATATAATGAATATGTAATTGAGTCTATATAATCAAAAAGACTTTACATATAGACTTAAAAGGTTTTTCACAGTATTTGTAGAAAATATATTTGCTTATTTTAATATTGAACAACCCCATATTTCTGTAAAAATCTGCCCAACTTGCACTTTACCCTTTGATTATTCTAATAAAACATGGAAATACATTCACCAAAACATTTCTGCAAAGGAATATTGATGAACTAATAAAGGCTGATAATTTAGTTTGGTGTATTACTCAAACAAAATATTTCGAAAAATATACTTTCAAAAAATGGTACAAATTTGTATCCCAAGTTTTATGAATAATAAGCTTTTAAAAAAGTAACAAGTATATCCTGGACAAATGATTCTTTTTTTGCTCAGAAAACTTCCTATCATAAAAAATTATCAAACTACTCATATAACTGTATTTATTTTTGAGTCTTTTTGGACAACATTTCACCGTAGTAAGCCACTGAAGTTTACTTTATAACCAGTTTTTATTAGATAATACCATTCTGAAGAGAACCTTCAAAATTAAACATTTGTGCACAGAATTATTAGAATAAAAATTATGTGAGAAAAAAAAATCCAGATTTATTTATCACAATCACTACTTATAAACTACAAGACCAGTTTAGTACAATATTCATCATCACCAGCTTTAAGGCTTTATCCAAATGAATGCTTACAGTGCAATTCATAAATTACTATGAATCATGCTATTGAACTTTCATACATAACAAATTGCTCATTAATACAAGTATGTTAATTTTTCCAATTGCAACAAAGCTAATACACATTTGATAAAAATGTTTTTGTGTCTATAATTACATAGAAAAGATCCTTGTTCTATTTATAAATAGTTGTCCAAATCCATACAACACTGATAAAACAAATTACAAATGCCCATGACTGTTTAATGTTTGTGAAAAGTATTATAGAAAATGCTAAAAAAATGTGTTCTTCAATGATATTTTGTTGTATGACATTTTAGAATCAAAAGGTGCATCTCTTATACCACACAATGAGGCTATTATAAATATTTGTAAATGGATACAACTACAAACGTCTGCAAAATTAGCACGTTTAATCAATGGAGCCCTTTTCTACTACACAGAACACCACTAACATGAAACAAAATCTCACTGTAGGAGTTCCTCTTCGTTTGGTTGATCATTGTTTGTGCTTTGATCTACATGACATCCTTCATTTACCAAATTATAGTCCTGACTATAAGAAGGGAGGTTTTTCTGAATTTTTTCAGCAGTGTTATTTTCCTGGCTTAGGTTTTTCAGGGAATAAGGACAATCTTCCTCAGAGCCCTTCATGAAAAATTGTAAATTGGCAAGAAATGTGAGATCAGAAGTGGTTTCACCATGACCAGCACAAACATTAGGTTGAGGTTCAAGCAATGACTCACTTGGATTCCAGAAAGTCTGGTCATCTCCACGAAATTCTTCTGGGGGTGGAACTGCTGTTTCCAGCATGAAATGTTCTAATGAATCTGAAATAATATAGTTCACAAGCAAAATAAAGGTAAATTATGTTTAGAATCTTATCTACACATGTATGAAATTAATATCCCCACTGTTTGGAGAGATACTATAACACTTTATTAAAAAATTTGACTAAAACTCCTTTCTATGAAACATTTGTTTTACAGTGATGTCGTTGGTCATTTTAAGTGTTTGTAATTGTGAAATTAGTATCACTGTTTGGAGAGATACTTACAAACACTTAAAATGACCAACGACATCACTGTAAAACAAATGTTTCGTAGAAAGGAGTTTTAGTCAAATGTTTTAATAAAGTGTTATAGTATCTCTCCAAACAGTGATACTAATTTCACAATTACAAACACTTAAAATGACCAACGACATCACTGTAAAACAAATGTTTCGTAGAAAGGAGTTTTAGTCAAATGTTTTAATAAAGTGTTATATTGTGAAATTAGTATCACTGTTTGGAAAGACACCTAAAACTTTATTCATAAATTTTGCCCAAATGACTTTTTAAGGAATACTTGGTTGGATATCATTTGTTATTTTCAATTGTTTGAAATAACAAAATTAATATCATCTCTGTTTGGATAAGTTAAAAGTAAACCTTTCAGTTTGCAAATCAGAGCTAAAATTCATTTTTAAGAAATATGGGACACTTTAAATGGTTTGTAGTTACACTTTACAAATAAAAATTACAATGTTCACACAGTAACTATAAATTAGATTACAAGATATGTGGAATACTGCTTACAGTGTTTTGCATATAACTTATCAGCAGTAACATTTACTAAGTTGCAAACCATTACTTTGATTTATACTGAGGGGTAGATCCAAACTCCAGTGTTAATCATGGGCAAAGAAAAACTTTTGGATTAGTTATAGGTAGCAGTATATTACTATTAACTTAATAAAAAAAATTCCCTTCAGAGAGGGATTTCAACATACTCAAAATATAGTTTTATAATAAATCTTAATGCATACATTGAAAACTTTTATCTTTTAGGATAGAATTATATCACTAATACAACATCTTACACTGGGTATCAGATAGCATTACAAAAAGTTTTCAGTACAAACATAGGGAAACTAAACTTTTTTTTGTAAAAGAGCTTTCACAAAATACTGTTGTGTAGCTATCAAGGCCAAAGTCCTTATTAAATAACAGCAGCTACGAAGAAACAAGAGAAAACTTTACCAGGAAACATATCTTCTGGATATTAAGACAACTAAAACAGGTTATAACTTTTCAACTTCTGAATACTGGAAAAATGCTTTCACCAGCCTCTGTACACACTAAGGGGATTTATTATGACTATTTCCAAATGTAATTAAATCATGTTATTTTGAAATAGAAGTTTCAATCTAATTACATCCTTCAATATGAGGAGATTTTTCTGCTGTTAAAACAAAATGGTTTTACCCAACAAACTTTCTGACTAATCTCACATGCAACTTGTAACAAAACATGTGCTGTCCTAAAATTTTCTCTTAATGTTTTTATTAAGCTTCATGTCCTGAAATATCATTCACATTTTATGTAATTTGTACTTGTATATATCAATACACCTTGTTTTAGGCTTCACTAATGATAATATAAACATGTTCTGAAATGATTAACTCATGTAAATAAAATGCCTTAATCATATCAAATGTTTTGAATATTTACTGTGCCGGGACTATGGAAATGCTTTTATAAGAGTCCCTGTACAGATATTGTTACTTCTTTAGTCATTAGGATTCCTAACTGTGAAGTTGAACCTACAATGAAGCATCAGAAATATCTTATCAAGGCTAGTGACAAATTCAGAGAAGTACTTCATGTTGCTTAGGCCTACTGTTAACTAGGGTAAGTGTAAACATGTTAGAGAATCAAGATGACCATTAAAATTTATGTTGATAAAATTGAAAGATCTGAGAAATCACAAAATCAGTGATGTTTAGTATCAACCAGATCACTCTAACCTGAAGCACTTCATCATCTAAAAAATATTCTGACAGTTGGATATTTAGGTGTTAGAAAGATTTTTAAAAACTCCATGAAAGGTTATAATGGGTTGGATGTTAAATAAAACATGGAAATATGGTGTAAAAATGTAACAAATATTATTAGAGAAAAGGTAAAAGTTATAAGAGTACAGAGTTGTAGCACCATTTAATAAAGTAGTTGCTGATTACGTAGGTGCACTATAACAGTCAAATGATTGAACTAAAATATTACAAGGTGGCCAGCATCTGGTATATTGAATCTAAAGTCAAAACGATGACAGTCAAGCTGACCAATGGGTTATATTAGGATATGGAGTAGTCATGAAACTTCACTCTGATTGAGGACACATGTTGTGAAAGAACTCTGTTGGCTGAAATATGTAAAAATTAAGATATCAAAAACCCATATTAAAAGTCTCCCACTCTTCTCAAATGGAATATTATAATGATAAAACTTCACAGTGTTGATCCAAGAAGTCATATAATTGGATAAGAGAAAAAACATTGGATCATAATTTGCCACATCTAGTTGATGAGCAAAAGAGCCATAATAACTGAAGCTACAGGCTACATTCCAACATTCTAATGTATATCTTATGACTGAAGATTCAACTGGAGCTCCTTTATGGTTGCCTTAGAGGTGCATGTAAGTCTGAGTAAACCTAAATCAATTATATCACTCATTTGAGGGTACCAGTGGCACTATACCTGAGTTTCATTGTAAAAAGATAATGGTAACCAATGAAAAATTAAATTAAAAGATGATATGATGGCAATGCTTACATGTCTGGGTAATTATAAAGCTCAAAATTTATATCTTCAAAATTAAAGCAATGCTGGGGTGGCACATTATGCAGTGGTAAAAGGGAACAGCATGTACTCTGCTGGATTTCAATGTGCAGACATGGCAAAAGGTCATTCACTGTATATGGTTTCAGAAATGTCGAGAACATGGTCTTTATAGTCTTCTCTGCAAATGGCCAAACAAAATTAGATTTATTTAAAAAAAAAAGAAGGAAGAATTGACTCTGGATATGAACCTGAACAACAAGCCAGATTCAGGTACTCTGTAACTTCAACATAAAGAAAAGAAATGCACCAAACCTTTCAGTATAGAAACAGACTTCAAGGCATTATAAATGGAGCTGACAGCAGCCTTCATACTCATGATGAACTAACAAATAAAAATAGAGATATCCAATGCATCATCATGGACTTGCATACATTTGGTTCATGAACAAAATAAAGAAGTATTTTAAAATCATTCAAGGGAGTTTCACAGTTTAAGAATGTGCCAGAGTTATGAAGTACTAGTCTTTATTATTATTTTGGAAATTGTTTCTTGTGACAAGTAAAAAACAAATGTATATTGTATTGCTTTTTTTTAAAACAAATATTTGTTGAACATTCTTTTTTATTATGTGTTACAAGTTTGGTTGATAGGTTTATTAAATACCAGTAAAAATAGTACTAATCAAATTGAAAATGTTACAGAATATCTCCATAAAATATTATAACTACAAAGTGAGCATAAGTTATATTTCAAGACAAATTTACACAAGTATCTTTATCAAAAAGTAAGTCAGCAAATAGTTGGTGTTTTAGTGCTCAGGTGTTATTTAAACTTACAGTGGGAAGCTACTTCTTACATTCAGTTATCTGGTAATAGGATTGATAATGAGTATGACCCAAGAAAATCATTTACACCTGAGAAAACAAACAGGAAAACAACGCATAGTCAGAAATGTCATTACTTTTAGATGAATAAGTCGTTTAATTTCTAAAGTAGTCGTTCTGTTAATATTGTGGAACTTGAAAAAAGTTGTAACAATGCAATTTTTGAAATATCTCCAGTAGGTCATCAACAATAAAAATAGAAAAAGAAAGCTGAGAGACCAGTATATAATGGAATGATATATCTAAGGAATTTTCAAAATATTCTTAAATGTCTCTTTTGTAAGTTCAATATTCATTTTAATTTCAAAATGAATAACTAACTGTGAAATGCTGCATTTTAATTGTAATATAAGCTCTCCATTCTCAGTAACTCTATAGAAATCATGACTTCATCAGGATTTATTATGAACACTATAAGTAAAATTTAATGAATTTTGTTCTGTAGTTTTGCAATTTTTAAAAATTAAACTGAATTATCTTTTATATGAAATTCACACAGAAACACATTTTCAATAAACCCATCACCCATATTTTAATTCATTATTACATGATGCCAATATTTCCTGTTAACTTTTCACTAATTATCTAAAAGATTATGTCCTTACATATTTTTTCATTTATCTCTTTCCACTTCAAAGAGAATTTTATAACAGCACTATCAGTACTCATGACACAAATTTGGAAGCTATTTTCTTTATTGTTCATTAGCCTCATAACCAGTTGAACATAAAGAAAAGATGAAACTGGGTTGCTAACACTCCTAGAAGCTGTCATATGTATGACTTGAGAACACATTCCATTATCCAAAAGTACTTATGTTTAGTGAAATAAAGTTTGAGACTGATAAAAAATGTTTTTATTTACATTTTAATATTCACTAGATAATATGAGGACTCAAGTGTCATAAGAATTGAAACACAACAGTCACAAAAGTTCAACATGTATTCAAAATTTATGTTATGAGTAATGAGACACAACATTCATGAATAATTGAACAAGTATTAAATATTTATGTCACAAGTAGTGAAAAACAAGAGCCATTAATAGTTGAGCATGTACTCAAATTCTGTCCTGAATAATGAAATACTACAGCCATAAATAGTTGAACATGTACTTGAAATTTGTGTAACAAGTAATGAAAGACAACAGGGATGAACAGTTGAACATGTATTCAAAATGTACGTTGGGCATTTTAATGCACGAGCCATGAATAGTTGAATATTTATTCAAAGTTTATGAGTGCTAAAACAAAAAGCCATGAACAGTTGAACATGTATTCAAAATTTATGTAATAAGTACTGAAACACTAGTCATGAATAGTTGAACATGTACTCAAACTTTGTGTGACAAGTAATGAAAGACAACAACAAAGAATAGTTGATCATGTATTCAGAATTTTGTGTCATGAGTAATGAATCACAACAGTGATGAACAGTTGAACATGTATTCAAAATGTATGTTATGTACATTGAAATGCGAGTTTGTTTGTTTGAAGTTAAGATTACACAATGGGCTATCTGTGCTCTGCCCACCATGGGCATCAAAACCCAGTTTCTAGCATTGTAAGTCCTCAGACATACAGCTATGCCACTGGGGGCATGAAATGTGAGAAGTATAAATAGTTGAACACTTATTCAAAACCTGTGATATGAAAAATAAACAGAAACTTTTGGAAGCTCTCAAAGGCAATAATATTTGACCTTGGATTGTTTAGGTTTATAGTACACATCATACAAACATAGAACTGATTATTTATTGTTAGGTTCTTCTAATCTTTTTGTGATGAGGTATTTCCTCTCTCTCATCCCCCTCAATTGGCATACCTGCATGTATCCTATGTTAACTAATAAACTACTAAGTTAATATTAAATAGTAATAAAGAACTACATTAGAAGTCAATTAAACTACATCTTTTATGAAATATGAAACATGCATATGCAAGGAAAACCTTTACCATGAAAAGCTGAGAACTAGTTTATGACATGTCAATTATCATCAGCTTACTACTAGTATATCAGTACAGAGAATTCTACATAACTGAGTTTTAGACATGTTTGCACCAAGATGTTTATTGCTTATGCATTCATTTCCAGCACATAGAAAAGGTAATATTAATTAATGCATTTCATACTGTAATTCATAAAATTGTTAGGTAAAAGAAAGATGTGAACTACAAAGACTGCATCACTGCTAGCACCTTTTACAAAAGTAAGTAATTACACCAACTAAAGTCCCAAATTTACTAACATATAAAACTTCATTAATTTGAATTAACTTATACTGACTAAGCAAGGTTAATTTTGTTTTAATGTTGCTTTCAGCTCAGTTAATATAAAACAGTATGTTTAATGTTAAAATTGAGGATGGAAAAATGATTGTTGGATCACACCATTTCAAAAATTAAACTATTAATTGTCATGAGTGTTTGATCAAATCAAGCCATATAAAAGCATCAGAACTAAAAATTAACAAAGTAATGAATATAGCTAATATTAATTTACATTCATACTGATTAGTAGAAACAGATTCATAAGTTGGGTACAATTGCTTTTAGCACAATTTTGGGTGTAAGGTGGATAAACAGATATGTAAAAACAAAAACAAACTTCTCCAACTAAAAACATAAAATTCCACTGGGTCAAAATCCCTAGACTGGTTAATAGAAAGCTAATCCAGCTCAAACTGGCCATAGTGTAATATTTAGTGCCTAATCTGAACTTCAAGGTTTCATGATATTTACAAAATTGCTGAGTGAAGATAGTGTAAGTCCTAAACATTGTTATGAAGCCTTGAACCCTCTAACTATTTAAAATAATGCTAAATTTGATTGTGTGTGTATATAACCCTTTAAGTTGAAGTAAAGCATTTATATTTTCTTTCTTTCAATGCAAAACAAACATAATTATTTTTCCATTAGTGATTCTAGTTGACCTACATGGGAAAAGTAAATCCAATGTTTACTCATTCTCCATCTTTGTGATCTAGGGTATATTACTTGATCTTGGACTTCCTGGTATAGTACCTCCCTCTAAAATTGACAACATCCTCTTCCAACATCTTTCAAGAGTTACTTATGTGGTTTAGTCTAGACTTAACTCCACCTATCTCTTCCAACTTTTAGGCTTACAAGATAAATGAAGTGAAAATTGATGATATCTTACAACAGGACTTGATTATAATTTCACAATCAATTATAGGAAAACTGGTTGCTTAAATTGTGAAATTTCAATGACAATGACTATGCCTACATGTGAAAGATAGTACTTGAAAAGTTACAGTAAAACTAGCTATAAAGTGTTGATAGTTTTGGTTTTGTATTGCTGGTTTTCAGGTTGATGACACAGTTTTTTAAAAAAACAAAATACTTACCACTCATGTTCCTGTTTAAAGTGTTTTCACTAAACATTTGAATGCATTCTTTGCCTCCACCAATCACATGAAATAAAAGTTACAACTGAATGCAGAACTCTTGTTATAAGATCATGCTCAAACTTAGTTTTGTGGTACTTACATATTTGGCCTTCTAATAAAATTGTTTCTTAATATTAGTTACAGACTGAGAGAACCATGAAAATCTTTATCAGTACTTAGATAAGTTTATTGTGTTTCAATCAAGTAAAGTTAAGGCAAGTTTAAAATCTATTTTTAATGAAGAATAATGATGATTTGGATGGATGTTTTTTTCAACTTTCTAAACATTTGTACTAAGATGAAACTTATAGTATGAAGAACAGTCAGAAATCCTCAGGAAGTCCTCTACAGGCAAATGAAATCACTTATTGACAAGTAAGAAGAATACAAATCAAATAAGGACAAACTTAATCCTTACCTTGCCAAAATAGTTCTCAGAAAGTAGAGTTATCAAGTAAAATTCACTAATGACATAGTCACTTTTGAGAAACTTAATTTTGCTATGTGCCAATAATTTCTCTATTAATATACAAAAAAGGTTAACCTGATATGGATTAGACAAAAAAAAAGTATGAAGTTGGTTATCATATTTAACAAGTTTTAAAAAAACATATTATACACTGTTGCTGAGGCAAAATTTTTGTGTGTCTAAAATGGAAATAATTTCAACTTCTTGTTTGGCTGAAGTTCATAGCCCAGTCTCAAGAAATTTCAAAAGCCACATCTAAAAAGATACAGAATAAAGGTATAACATGATCTCTTTCTTAGTAAATGACTTAAGTTATTTTATATCAAATTTCAATGGTTGAAAAAATGTGTTAAAATATTTCCAGCTAAGATCAGAGGCTGCATGATGAATGTAATCTATACATCTAGCTGACAATTTTCAAAATATTTCCAGCTAAGATCAGAGGCTGCATGATGAATGTAATCTATACATCTAGCTGACAATTTTCAAAATATTTCCAGCTAAGATCAGAGGCTGTCATAATTACTACTTTATCCTGATGAATGTAATCTATACATTTAGCTGATAATTTTCAAAATATTTTCAAATGGACTAATTCAATATATTTTTTTCAAATCTATATAAATATAAGCAATGGAACCCACCAGACGAAGTAACCTGCTGGTTATCACAAGACTTTGGATCTTCAAAAACTTCTTTTTCTGTTGATTCATGTGGTTCTTTCTCTTGATTCTCAGATACACTGATAGTAGTAGTAGTATTAGTAGTAGCACAAGCAGAAATGGTATTAGAAATAACGGCATTATGTTTAACTGGGGTAGCGTTGTTCATATCATTTTGGTAAGTATCCTCAGTCACTCTATACAATTAGAAAGACAGGATGTTTATGTTAATAAAAACTGCATTACAAAGTTAGTGAAGAGCAGTATTGTTATTAGTATTTACTCAGATAACAATAATGTAAGAAAGTATAAAAGGATCTAAGTAAGATATAAGTGAGTAACAACTTACAGTAAGACAACTGACAAACTAAAGGAAAATAAGTAAAAATAATGAGGTTCTACGAATGATATATGTATATGAAATAATAACAGAGGAAATATATGAATAAAAAATATGTAATATTAATATTGCTGTATGTCAAACACACACCAAAAGCGTAAATAACATTTCTTCTTGAAACTGTATTTTACATGACATGTACAATAAAATACACAGACTGAGGCTGTATGAGCCATGCAAAAAGTTTTTATTGTCTGCTGCATGACATGGTTTGACATTTAATGGTTTACATGCAAGATAATAAATTTTTAGACAATTATGCTTTAACGATAGGGGTAGTATGGCTAAGTAGCTTCATGCTTTGGACACATAGTCAGATGGTTGCAAGTTTGAGGCTGGACTGTGTTATGCTATTACAGCCTTGAGCAAGACACTCTACCCCACTTGTTCCATTCTATCCAGCTGTATGAGGGGTATGTATCTGTAAGCTGCAATGGAATGGGTCATGTTTTCCTGTTTTGTTAATTTAGACATAATGCCCAAAGTCTGATATATGTTCTAAAGACTAGGTTTTGTCTAAGATCTTTATTATTTAAAGAAATAATCTTTCTTGTAAATTTATAAACAAACATTTCAGTTTTACTTCCCAAATGTATGTATCTCATTGTATATCTGGTATAGATTTGATTTATCCTCTTCAAATGATTATTACACCTGAACTTAATACTTAAACCTAAATTCTCTTGTTTCCTAGTGTGTGTCAACCATTCTGTTGTTAGCTCCACCTACTAAAGTTTACACAATTACAACATATTTCTTCTGTCTTTCACTTTACACTGGAAAAGAAGACAAGGCTTCTCCAAAAGCTAGGACCATTTCTTCTTTTTAATTATTTGCTGTTTTTCATTCTTTAAAGTTTTTTGTATTTGTTTTTACCTTTAAATGTTTTCACTTTATTTGTCCTGAATATACCAGCTTCTTGGTTTAATTTTCTTGTTTTTTCCCATGAGTAAGTCTTTTTTTGCATCATTACAGAATTTCTCTAGATCCTCAGTACAAATTATGAAGAGCATGTGATATAGAAAAATGACCTTATTTTATAACTACACTTGCATCATGGAGATGAAAAGAAACAAATCATCTAAGCTTCATTAATCTTAAAATGCAAATTAAATTAAGTGTCAACTAAAGAGGGTTGAGTTTGTTACATTAAAATGATTTAGAATAGGCAACTCAGCAACTTTTGTGAAAACCATAGCTGATATAAAATTGTGGTGGAAAAGTGTGTAGTGTGATGTCACAGCAAACTGATTGCTTTTGGGAAAGTATGTAACAGTTCATTCTAAAGCAAACTATTTAGCATTTAGATAAAAAAAAATATGTTCTGATCAGGAATTTGGAATTTTCAATCTGAGATATCCCTTGTGCTTAATTTCATTGGAAAAACAAACGAATATGAATCAAACTGGGAAAAAGATCATCCAGAAATAGACCCGAAACAAGTCGTATCCCAGCCATGGTAAGCAACATATGGCATCTTGTAAAAGGTGATAATCCAAGAAAACAGAGGTCAATGTGGCAACAGTATGCAACATAATGAAGAAGTATCAGCATCTATAAAAGAGACACCAGTTATGTGTACATAAGTAACTTCCATGACACATTGAAGAAAGGAAAACCAACTGTAGAAAATCATATGAAAAAGGGAAAAATGGAAGTATGTGGTGATAAACAAGTGTATGTGTACCTTGAAAACTAACATATATTTTGCAATTTTTTACTGGTCAATGAGTGAAAGCAATTTTACAAAAGTGATACATGGCATGATGTGAAAGTTTTTTTAAGTGATTTATGATTATTGCTGAATACTGTGCCATGGGCAAATACAGGAACAGGGAAGTGGATAAAAAGATCAAAGTGTAGTTTGCTTGATATCAGGTCAATGTTCTGGGCCATTTGTAAGATACGGAAATATTCTGGACATGACATGTTTATGATGGAGCTGTGTGTAATGAACGTATGCTGAATGGCTACTATCAAGATGTATGGTTGTCAGATAATTGACAGGACTTGTGGACAAGGTGAGGCTTTGTTTGTTTGTAATTAAGCACAAAGCTACACAAAGGGCTAACTGTACTCTGCCCACCACGGGTATTGAAACCCGGTTTCTAGTGAGGCTCCAGTCATTTTAACATAATGTACTTCTTTATGTAATTCTTGCCTTGTCAAATGAGGAATGAAATGAAACTCAAAAAAATTAAGCTACATTATAACAATGTTAAAGGAGATGAAACTGAGATTTCTTTTAGAAATTTATTAGCTATGGCCATTATTATTTTATATAAAATATATGCCAAAAGTGACACATACCATTTTCTCTAAGATTGAATAGTTTAACTTTTAAGAAAGCAATGAACAGAAAGAAAGTTAACATTTTCTAACACTAAAAATGTATTTCTGATAGGTACTTACCTCCTTTCACCCATAGCTCCCTTGACCTTCATTTGCCCTCTAGGCATTGGTAAATGTTTTTATAAAAGCTCACCAATATATTGTTTGAGTCATTACAGCAACATGTGCTGATCGTGTGACTACCCTCCACCAATCCCATTGCACCCTCTACACTAGTGCAGGTAGCTCCCTCTACCCTTGCAGCACAATCCTCACTTTCGAGAATTGGTATATACAAGGCCAAAAACATCGGCAAATCAGAGTGGAGGAAGGGTGTGAAGAGGTAAGTACCTATCGGAAATACATTTTCAGTGTTAGAAGATGTTAACTTCCAAAACACTACTACCTCTGCTTTCCCATAGTTAGAATCCCACATTGGATAGGTGGAGGGGTCAGTGAAGGCATAAAAACAAATAATCAAGCTGAGAGCGACTGCTATGAAAAAAGCAAGTGTGCCACAATTAAAATATGAGGCACAACTGTGGGTTATAGCACTACTTCTGGACCAGGTATGCTCTTCACCTAGTAAAGAAGAAGATAAGACATGTAGGGCAGAAATGAATAGAATACATGGCTAAGGCAAGTGGATTATGTATGAATAGGTGAAGTACAGTCTGTTCAAGCAGAAAACAGCCAGGGAAAGCACCTTAGATTGATATTGAGATAGCTAACTGAGGTCCTCTCAGGAAAAAACATCCAGGAGAAGCCCCTTAGTATATATTGGATTATGTCAAGTGTGGTCCATCTGTGCAGAAAACATCCAGTGGAAGTGCTTTGTATATTTCATGCCATGTGGCGTGTACAATATTCAGCATAATGATGATAGATAAAAACAACAAGTGCAGTTCACCTGGGCAAAAACATCCTGGAGAAGCACCTTGGATTGATATCAAGATAGCCGAAAGACCTCCTCCCAGGCAAAAATATCTGGGGGAAGCCCTTTGGTATACATTGGATCATGTCAAGTGCAGTCCATCTGGGTAGAAAACATCCAGTGGAAGCACCTTGTATAATAGATTTCATGCCATATGGTGTGTATAATATGCAGCATAACGACGATAGCCCTCTTCTCATTTAGTGAGTACATATGGCTATGAGATTGTGTTATTGTACAAAACCCATTTGTGAGGAAACTTCCATGGCCCACCACTACAGCGACTGGGAACTGGAAGTGGCAAGAACCACTGTGCTCCATTAGAAGAAAGAGGGGGGGAGACATTGGGGAGTCTGGAGAAACAACCCACTGGAGACAGTGCAATGGGTGTCTGCATTTCCATACTTTGAAAAGCAGAAAGACTGGGATTGTAAGAATCACGGGTGAGTAAGGATGAGCAAAAATTCCTATCTGCTTTACTCATGAAGTCCATAAGTGATGGACCTCAGGATATATATATACATTGAGAAAAAAGTGAGCATTGGAGAAGTATACAGATATAGTGCTAAGATATAAAAGTCAGCATACCTGACCAGGCAACACCCAGAACGATAAAAGAGAGAAAAAAAAAAAGACAACTTACTCCAGCCACATGTGAACAGACATGTGTAGAACTGCCACAGGAGGAAGACAATATCTGCCTGAGGAAGATACAGTGAAGACTGCATGCCAGGAGGACTGAGGTCATAAGAGAAATAAATATCTTACAAGGAACAAATTACAATGGGTTCAAAGGTAGAACTGGACAGTATAGGAAGAACAACATGGAGATCCCAATCCAGCAGAACAAAGAAAACATGTTGGATGGACCAGATGAAAGAAATGGAACAACCCAAGGAAGAAAAAATTTCTGGAAGTGGGAGAAAGGATGGAATTTGACAGGGCAGCTCTAGAAACAGCAACAGGTCAAGCAGACAAACCCTGAACAAACAACCAGATCAAGAACTGGGACAGATGAGGAACAGAAGTACAGGAGGGACAAAAACTGTGGAAAAAAGACCAAAGACTGAAGCAAGACTTATGCCTCCAGTACACAGACAAAGATGAAGGGCAAAAGGTATAGGCAATGAAAGATGTGACATGAGGGGTGAGTACCTGAGCTGAGGCACAAGACCAGACAAAAGACACACAGAAAGACAGAGTATGGTGATGTTGGGATGAAAAACAACAGATCGTGGTGGACATAGGATTGAACAGGACAGTGAAAGGGGCAGGGTCTGTTGCTCCATGAAGGGCCACAACAGAGGGAACTATGTCAGAGCCAGCCAATCCAGAGCAATGAACAACACAAGAAGGAGTGGTCTAGAAAAGGAAAAGACTCAGAAGAGGATAAGTCCAAGTGGAGGGTATGCATATAGGGGCAAGCCCCTGAGCCAAGGCACGTGACCAGACAAAAGTCACTCTGAAAGAAGAAGTGTGGAGACGTTTGGTTGGAAAAAAATATCAGATCGCAGATGATTGAGGAGGAGACAGGACAGAGATAAGGATAAGGACTGTTGCTGCAGTAAGGGCCAGAGCTGAGGGAACCACATCTAAGTGGCCAATACAGAAGAACCTGAAGATGAGTCAAGTTTGAAGGTAGGCATATAGGTGAAGACCCCTCCAATCTTGACCGAAAGCATCCATCTCCACAGCTGAAGAGTGAGGAACTGAAGATAAAAAGGAAGAAAGTGTGGTATACCAGAGAATGGGAAACATAAAAATACACAGTGTTCCCCATTGAGAATCACACCCAGTAGAAAACGTGAGAATGAAAAGACCACACTGTGGAGAACCTAGTGGGGACATGAAAAGAGTTTGGCCACAAGAACCAGAACTCGGGAACATGACCCACCAAAACATTCACATCAAGGTCATTGGCTCAGTACACAAAATCCAGAGTCTGACCAGACAGAGATCTGAACATGTTTCTCCATTTCTTGGTTATAAAGCTGATGATAGTGGAATTGCAGAAAGAACCAAAACCATTCACCCCTGCAGGAAAAGATACAGAGCCCAATAAATTGCCAAGGTACCAGGATGTGGATAAGGAGAGTAGCCTCCTTGGCTGACCACTGACCCCAAAACACAGAGGAATCAAAGAAAATGGGATGGTGAAAGGGATCGTGAGGGAAGTTCCACTGGACAAGAAGAATCCAGTGAAGGGAATGTATGCTGTCTAACCCAAGAGAATGAGTACTTCCAAGGAAGACCATATCCAAAAAGAGAGAGATCTTCACGGATATAGAGAGAGAAGAAGAAGGGACGGCAAATATGATTGTCCTCTCAATATCCTGGAGCCAAAGTGGAGTAGGGTGAGCTCTATCAAAAAAGGAAGTGAAAAGAACCCCTAAATGAATAAAATACTGTGAGAGGGTAGTAAAGGACTTCTCCAACCAGAAAAGAAACCTACCTGAGAAGCTTCTCAAGGAAGGAAGCAGGTGTGAGTGACTGACCAAGCACAGGAAGAGGCAAGCAGAAGCCTGTCATCCATGAAATGCGAGTCTGAGGACTCAACCAGTGAAGATGACGTGCAAAAGAGCATACAATTTCACAAAACACATACAGAGCTGAAGAAATACAGTCTGAGAGCACTCAGAACAGAAAGGCAAATCTCACCCAGAGAAACCAAAGAAACGAACATGACACTGTGGTATAAAAAACCACCAAAGTGAGAGGTTGGACTCCATAGCAAAGCGAGGTGACTGTAGATAAGTATACAGCCAGGACAGATCAAGAAAGGGACTTTAAACTCCCATATATAGGGAGACAAAGAAGGATGGGAGTAAACTCCTGGTTGAGTGGGCTCCATATGCTAGATAGCTCCATTATGTAGTAGGACATGAACAGACTGAGCAAGATGACCGGAGAAGATACGATCCTAAGGAGGAGGGGAGGAGATCTGGGGAGTAGAGGGGGAGCAAAATGTAAGTCAGAAACCCTCAAAGAGAACCTGTAAAAAGAACATAACTGTTGTGAACTGTAGTCAAAAAGACACAAACTAAAGAAGTTGAAGAAAGTACACAGAACTAATGAACTAACAAAAACTTTGAAACGTGTAGTCTACAAAAAGCTTAAAAGCAACACATCTCCAAAACTAAAAAAATGACCTAAAACATAAAACAGTAAGCAACATCTAAAGTACAAAACCACTAATGGGACTGATAAGATAAACGACCCTTCAACATAAAATGTATAAGTTGATTCAAAGAAACTACAAGACAAAGGACACGAAAAAAAAACTGACCCCAGTTAACAAAAACGAAAGTGTATGCTTCATCGGCAGTCATCGTGAAACCTTAGACTGAGGCCTAGTGTTATAACCACTGTCTACTTATGGCAGGGAATTTATCAACTACCATAAGAAACCCGAATTCATATTTTAAAAGTAGAATTTTAGGAAACAGAAACATCTACAAAACAAATGAGTAAAACTTGAACTCGAAATTGATATTAATTGGTGATCAAGCACAATCAAAAATTGTGCAGTCACATGGAGAACATAAAACACACGTCTATATATGAGTATGCCAATTGAGAAAGTAAAGATTGCGCCATAAAGGTAGAGGGAGCTATCTGCACTAGTATAGAGGGTGCAATGGGATTATCGGAGGGTGGTCACATGATCAGCACATGTTGCTGCAATGATGCAAAAAATATAGTAATGTTTTTTGTATAAAAAAACATAAAAAAAAAGCTAGAGGGCAAATGAAGGTCGAGATAGCTATGGGGAAGAGGAGGTAGTACCGTTTCGGAAAACATGCAATACATTATGACAGCAATTCTAAACATTTAGTAACCATAGGACCCCTTTTAATTTACCTATCGACATAAAAAAAAATAATAATTCTGTGAACACGAAAAGCTGTATTCCAAAATTAAATGTTTTAGTTCATATAAATTTAATTTTATGAAAAATACTTTTATTCTATAATCATTTTTTCAAATATTTTAATGAAATTTTGAAATTACTCACAAACCAACAGGGGTGCATAGGTCCCAGTTTGAGAAACCTGCAATATGAACTGGTAATTTTATTATTAAAAAATATCTTGTGCAGTGACTATATGATCCTATTCATAATTTTACACTGAAACTTTTGTATTCACCCACTGACGCAAGGATACTTGATGCTTGTTACTTGATTTGTCATAGAAAATTAACATTATATAAATATTTAAAAATTTCAAAAATAATGCAAAATGAGATGCTTGCCTTTATCATGCATATTTTAATCCTTAAATAATGAATGGAGTTCATTTAGGGCACATAAACTTTTTAAACACATTTTTCTAAACTAGTTATACACTCAATTTCTTGTAGGTCTATCACCTTACAGATTCCCTTGATACAAGTTACGTTAAAAATGCATGAAAATAAAAACACCATCTATATTGCAAGTAATCACATTCATTGCTGTATTTGACACAGAAAATAAGGGATTTCACTCAACTGTTTTGGTCAATTGTTTAGTGTTGTAACAGAAAAAATATAAAATTACTTAAAATGATGTAATAATTGGACCCCAACAGTAATTAATGGTATTTAAACAAGTCAGTAATTTGAAAGTTAACTGGAAGTAATATTTAATAATATGATTTTCTATGTTTATATGTATTTAAAAAGTAGCTAGAGAATTTTCTTTCATAGTGAAAACACAAATTAAACAAGAAATAAAAGTCAAAGTAAATATTTAGCAGACTTAACAATTATGAACAAACAAACAAAAAGAACAGACTAAAGGGTTAATAATGGCTGGAGACTGCTTGAATGGGTAATGAAGAAAAACTTTAATATAATTTTAACATAACAGCAAATGTACAACGTTTCGACGTTTCAGGTACCTGATAATGACAAAACCTTGTCGAAACGTTGTA